CACACACACACACACACACACACACACACACACACACACACACACACACACACATGGCATGCTCTCTCTCCATATCTTTCATCTGCAAGCTACACTAACAGATACTAACCTGACGAAATCTTGAAGAGTCGAGCTCGCTCTCTCCATATCTTTCAATCTGACACCCATTTCGGGAACATAATCGCTCCCCCTTTCGACTGCCTGCAAGCAAGGCAGGTATCCAGCACCCACCTGACACGGGATCGGCACAATCAACTCCGGTTCTTCTATGCCGCTGCAAGATAGATTAGCTTTCTTATCGACGTGTCCATCCTCTCCTCGTCCTTCGTCCAATGGCAGCTCTATAAATGGTCTCTTAACGGACGCGATACGGTTCGCCCCTCCCTGTGCCTTGTCATTCTGTCTATCGACATTAGTATCACCCTGATCAACTGCTGCTACACGCGAATCTGCTATTCTCAAGCCGCTCGGGCCATCCTGATTCTCAGCAGCGCAATCTGCACCCCCGATCCGACGGCTATTGTCAAACTCATTCCCACGCCCCGCTTTCTCCAATTCACAGCTTCCCGCGTCGCCGATTTCAACGTCTGGGTGACGCGGTACCCCTGTGGAATGCTCCATCGCTACCACTCCCTACTTCAGACTGCTTCCGCTCCAGCAACGGAACCGCCCTTCTGTTGCTACAAATAATCAAGTCCACCGGCCCCTCTCTATGTAATCAAATTGACCCGACCAATCACTCTTGCACTGTTTGTCTCTCTCGTCACCTAACCCCCCCGTCATCGCCGCTTTACTCGGCCCGGCAGGGTACACATCGATGCCCGCGGTGGAAGGGAGCTGCAATCAATCCTCTCTGTCGATGAGCCGAGACACAATCAAAAGACTGCGAGATAAAGACATAACAACTTCTCGCCCATTTGAATAACGGCTTCCCTACGAACACACGGTCTCGCCGTACCAGCAAGCACAAACTAAGGCCCTCCCTCCACTACTCACCAAATGTGGGAAATGCGAACGAATCTTCCGCTAGAACATGGAAGGATACACTGATACCACGCTCGGGCGTTTGGGCGCAGCCAGGCCTGCGGCGGACCGGCGACTAGTCTACGAGAGCTTCGCAATCTGCCGTTGCGGAAATGGAAGGAACTCTAAAACAAGGTCGCATTCAGGCACTGAGGGAACTCATTGCCCCTACTGGACCTTGCCCCCCTACCCAATGACGGAGTAAAAAAGGTATACTACTGTGAAATGCCCCTAGTGGAACTAGGCTCTAAGATCAAGTGTAGTATCTGTTCTGATCCATGCAGACGCGGGCTGTACGCTCGTAGTTGCAGAATGGGCTTGAAAAGTACCTCCTCCAAATTGTAGTACTGAATAGTCACCAAAAGCTACAGGTAATACACCTGGTAAAGAAACCCAATCTTGGGTAAAGTAAACACCGCGACTTCTATCTTTGACCCAGCCAACAGGGAAGAACGCACTGTGATTCGGATCCAGGAGCAGCTAGACGATGAAACATGGTCCGCTCAGGAATGGGTGAGGTCCACTGACCCGGAACGCCCTACACGCCTCCAACTGCAAGGGGATATTGCGGTCTCCCCATCTCAGAGCTTGCGGATCACCCGGGTAGACACCAGAACCTCGGGAGGATGGCACACCGCTGCAACAACTACGCATGGATCCACAGGGCCACTACTGGGAACCATCACCGGGACGCAGAGTCTTCCTTCATCAATTTCAAACCTCGCTGGCCAGAACTCTTCTGTCGAAGGGTGGGGAGCTCCCCACAGAGGTAGCACGCACGTTGAATAGGCATGCCACACAATTCGGTCCATCATTATCTGGACCATCTGGGAGGACTGGAACAACGTCCTCTTCAAGCTGCAGTGGACGGCAGATGCTGCTCTGATACTAAAAATCAAGTCTTGGATCAGAACAATGATCAGTGTCGACTGGCACAGGAAAGCAGCGAGAGGACGAACAAGACGAGGCAGACACTGGTTCCTTGTTACGTGGGCCAGGGACAACCAACTGGCAGCAGTCACCCATGAGGGCAAGCTAGTCATCTCCCCGTGGTTGCTGAGCTGAGAAGGCCCACCCTCCTCCCACCCTCCCTACCTCCACCCCCATCTTGATCTCCCCTCCTTGTCACTACCCCTAGGTTGTAGCATCTAAAACCAGGGCACTCGGTTTCAGTTGGCAGTCACAGTAGGCCGCAGAGGGTAGGGTAGGGAGGAGAGTGTCCAGAAATTAGAGAAGGAAAACAGTAGTCTCCTCTCGGCCGGACTGGGTCGGGGTCAAGCCGTTCTAAGCTTGTGTATTAGGACTGCATTACATCATTCAGACCCTTTTCCCCATTCCCCCTCTTACCCCC